ATTCCAACCACTTGATCCTTAAATTCAGTCTTCCTCTACCTTACATATCAAAAGCTTCATATAAAGTTCCTCAAGTTCCCAACCCGCCATCTTTTTAACTCTTATCATTCTGCCTGGAACCCATCCATCCAGCTCCTGGCCTAATATATCTGTGACAAGGATAAGCTGTCGACTCATGGTTTCAGTGCCGGGTTGCTTGAGAGAATGCTCCAAGTTATAGGTCAGTTTAGTCTTTATTCCAAGTATATTCCCTGTTGTCTCCCCAAGTGGGAATGGGAGCCTTGGGATATCGTTTAGGCTTGAAGTAGATGAAGTGGTCAAGAATTCCGACAGAGCTTAGATTTGAAAGTCAGATGTGACCGTCCTTGTAGACAAAGTTGAATTAGTTTGACAGAAAGCATGTAGATATCTGAAATTGAAGTGCTAGCGCCGCTGCAATGCAACAAATTTGGGGGGGGGGGGGAATAGAAAGCCACAAGGCAAGGTAAATAACAAGATTCATAAAAACACCAAGTATTACACCACATTCATCACATCATTTGATTTATCTTCATCTGTCTGACTTGCCCGGCGGACTCTGGGAAGAGAATGAACAGAACTTGTCCTTGATCGCGATAACCTCGTAAGTTCCCTCATCAGAGGTCTTGATCGTCTTGATGTTTTCGTAGGAGATGTCATGCTTGATATCAAGGATCTCCGATTTCTTCCCCTTGCGGACATTGGAGCTTCGGATGTATCTGTGGAATTGTTAGCAAACTGCGCTGAAAGAGACTATCTGGGTAGAGATTATTGACTTACGTGAATTCGAATGGTGGTGTACCCCAGAACTCAAAGTGAAGCTCGGCTTCTCCACCCTCGTGAATGTCCACCACTGATTCTTTGCCCTTGCTGATCCGCACGCTCGGCATAGCATGGATGACCTTGGTGATGTCTTTGTGGGCCTTGCATTTCCCACTGGCTCCATCACTGACAGCGTTGATGGTGAACTGACCGGGAAGCTCCGCAATACGACGGAAGTTAGCGGTTTGACTAGTGGCCTTGCGTTTGGCCCCGTCGAACGTGTAGAACACGTCGAATGGAGCATGGCCTGACAGTGAGAAGGAAAGTCGTTCGCCCACACAGTAGTCCATCTTGGACTCGAGCGGGATAATGGTAGGAACATCGGAGATGGCGACCCGTACCGAGGAGGCATCGAGGTCAGTGGTCTTTTGACATCCTCTAGAATCGCGAACCTTGTGGATGCTGACTTGGTGTTGTCCCAAGTCAAGATGGCGACGAGGAATCAGCAGTTTGTGTCGATTGGAATTGATCTTGGGAATCGTGACAATCTCCGGTTTAGCGTTCGAGTGGTGTTTGATGCTGATCTCTAGGGAGAACGGTGGGACACCCTCTAAAGTAATGGGGATAGATTCCTCGCCGTTGATGTCTTCCTTGCAGAAGCCAAAGACGTGGCCAGGTTGGTCGAACTTAGCGGATGGTAGCGGGTTGACCTTTTGTGTCACAACCAGAGCTTTGCTCTTGGGATCGTGATCATAGAGGCTGTCACCAACTTGTGTGAACTTGTAGCTGTATTCTCCGGCCTCGGAGGTATCCATTTCCATCGAAGTCACATGAAGGGCGGACTTCAAAGCCCGTGGCTTCGCCGCAGAGAATCCTCCACGGTCCGCCTTGCGTCGCTTCTCGTACTGAACATTGTATGGAGGATTGCCCGACAGCCGAACCTCAAGGCTGTCATCGTCGCCTTGGCAGACCTCAGATTTTGCAAACTCCTTGGCGGCTCCAATGGGGGAGCCGTCAAGGGCAGTGATTTGGGGCCGTGGGATCCACGAGACCTCAAACTCATTTGCAGACTGGTCCACAGTTCCAGGACAACCGACGTCAAATACTTCACTGATCTCATAAAGACCCTGCTTGTCAACAGTTAAGATGCTGTTTTCATCCCAGAAGTTTTTCTGGATGGGCGCCGAGTCCACGTCAACATTCTTATACTTGACAGTCCACGGGCGTTCTCCACTCAGCCTCAACGGAATCTCAATCTTGGAACCCTGCAAAGCTAAGACACTTCTCTTCTTGTCAATTTGACCGAAAGAGACGTGCGGGGGCTGTGATCGGGCTTCGATATTGAGGCTGTCCTTGAGAGTCCGTTTGCAACCAGACTTATCCTTGACGCTAGTCAGAGACACGGTGTAGTCACCACCACTGATCAGTTTATCCGTCGTGATAGTTGCCACATCAGTGTCAGATTCCAGTGTTTTCCTCAATCTCTTCCCATTGTGGACGATCTCGTATTGCAAGACCCAAGGGGCCTCTCCGAGGAAAGACACCTCCACAGAAACAGCTTCGCCGAAACAGGCGGTTCTCAATTTTCTTGATAGGAAATGAGCCGAAGCCGGTGGCTTCACATCTTGTTCAAGCACCGGTATCTTGAGAGACCGCGGCGAGTAGACGGCATCTTCGATATCAATGAAACGATAGGTGTATGAGCCAGCTTCCGATGGGGTGAAATCGAGCTGCGTGCGCATTCCACTGATGGCTTGTACTTTGGAAACAACGCCCTTGGAGCTTTCAATGCTGTATCGGAGGGAGAATGGAGGGGATCCCGTGAGATCCAAATCCACAAGTAATCCAATAGCGTTGTTCGCACAGCGGTCAAATATCTTTTCGGCTTTGACTGTCAATTCTGGCTCAGGTGGGTTATGCAAATAGCAAGATGAAGGCTCGAGGATCTCTCCTGGACAAAACTTGGTAGAGACTGATGTCAAGGCATACAAACCAGGCTCTTTGATGTCCAAAGTCTGATTCATATGCTTGAGGTCGACTGTTTGTTCATGTGCTGCTTCTTGGGTGTTGCCTGAGTACGAGTAACCGACCGAAAACGGACCATCCTTAGCATATGCGTGCCCATCAGGATGGAAGCTGAGGGGAAATCTCGTGCTGTCTCCCTTGGCAACTTGCAGCGGATTCTGAGCATTGCAGTTTTGCAGTGACAACTGCGGGCGTTCGTGAACGGAGAACTGGTACCACTGAGATTGTGACTTTGTGGATGGTCGGTCTCCTTCATCAAAGATAGTAGAATAATTGGCCACGTTTCCAATAGCATCATGGACCTCTTCGATGGTGTAAAACCATTCTCCGCCATCATTCAATGATTCGTTCAATGGAACCTCAATCTTTTGACTCTGCGCCCACGAAACGTCGGGCTGGTTGATGCTGTACAGAGCAGCAGTAGTTCTGCCGTTGAGCAGCGGAGAGCGCAGATGATCGGGCTGGATGTTAAGGACCGAGAATCCACGATCGAGATTGTTGACCTGGCGACTGTACTTGATCTTCAACGGAGGCGTGCCTTCCACCTCCAGTTTGAAGTCGGACAACTCTCCTTTGCACTTGTCGATGTGTGTGTTTTTGATCAAGGCTCGCGGGCAAGAGACCACCAGCGCATCAAATGTTCGTGTATGAACATCAAGCTGAGACTCGTCCACCACCCGTTGAAGACGATAGACACCAGTCTTGCGCACAGGGAAGAGCAGGTCGCGATGGAGTTGACCTGGAGCATGCTTCTTTTCCGCCTGCTTTTTCAGAGTTTTCAATTGCTTCGACGGAATGCTGATTGTTTCATTTTCGCCGGTGTTAAGATCCAGACGCAACAATTCGATCAGGACAGGGTCGGTCTGGTTAACACGAATGGGCAGGTCGATTGTGGACTGCAGAGAATCAAGGCAAAGCGAGTTCCGATCCGGATTGAGGACGGCGGATCTAATATAAAGTCAGCTTGATCTTATATGTAGGTATATATGAACCGGATAAACTTACCCCTCTGGCAGAATGTGCACAATTTGTTTTCCTAGGATCAATGACGAATTGTGAATGATATCGCCGGGCTTGACTCTGCGCTCGGAAATCGATAATTCGCGATCGTATGCCACTTTTACTAGTCCAGTAATCCATGTGGCCCAAGGAATCTGCAGCTATTAGCAAGGGTCGATCAGGAGTCTAAGAACAAGAAAAAAAGAAAGAAAGAAAAAAAAACTCACTGGGATGCGGAACATCAAAAACACATTGCCCACGGCGTGAAGCAGAAATACTGTGAGCGTGGTCGGGAACGCCCACTCTAGCCAAGGTATACGCAGAGCCTGCAGTCCGACCAGGAAGATTCCATCGATCGTGGCCCATTTCAACAGCAGCCAAGTTGAATCCAGGTCATCGGATGCCGTCAAGGACTCATAAATCCTCCAGGCATTCAAGGCGAAATATATTGCAACGACATAGAGTCGTTGGGAGGGAGCATCGATCACATTGGTGGGGATCAGTGGCACATCGTTCGGGTTTGGAGGTGGTAGTCTCGACGCCTTCGAGGCCGATTTGGATGCTGATCTGAGTGGTGTTCGTACAGCTCGGGGCTCTCGCGGCTGCGATCGCGAAGGAGTCTCAAAGAGCTTTCTCCTTCCAGTTCCAGGGATTGTTTTAGGTGTCTGCGGAAAGGCAGACGGGAGGAGGGGAGTGCCGTTCATGGCATGCTGTGGTTGCCGGAGCTGGCGAAAGGTGGGGATGTAGTTAGGGCGCAATGGTGGCCCTTCTAAAGCTGTAGTAGGGTTTAAATGAAGTTGAATGAAGCTGTATGAAGCTATCCAGTGGCAATTCGCGCCTATAGCAGATAGAAAAGAAGAAATAAAAAAATGTTGGAGACGCGGGAAGCGCGTCGGGAGAAGCTCGGTCCACTTATGACCTACTTCCCTCTATTGTCTTGGGTGTCTTGGGTGTCTTGGGTATTGTCTACGGTCTATTGACTACGTCTATCGTTTACCTGGTTCACCTGGTTTACCTGTTTCTGTAAAGACATATTTCTCTTTCCTTCAACGGTGAAGAGCAAAACCCTACTATCATCTTTAATCTCAGGACTCCTTTTATCATAGCTTCTCATTTCAATCTGATCCTGAAGCTCTTCAGCTCTACAACTCCCTACCCTACCTCTTAGTTTTTTGAAACCAAAACAAAAAGCCAACATGGGTCCTCGAGTCAAAAGGCGCCGCCTGACGGACCCGGAAGATTTCAGCGACGATATCTGCCAGCCTGCGTCCCGTTTGGAAAAAGACAGCTGGAATGGATTTTGCGAAATCGAATCAGAACCGGTATGTGTGTGTCTGGAAATGGCATTAGCAGTGCTTTACTCACGGGGATTTAGGCCTTGTTTAATGTGATGCTACGTGACTTTGGGGTCAAGGGTGTAAAGATCCAAGAGGTCGTTTCTCTTGACGAAGAAATGATGGCGTTCCTCAAGTATGTTGTTGTGTTACTCACAACCCCTCACTGTGCTCTTATATACGGACTCGATAGCTGACCATGGGCAGTAATCCTGTTTACGGCTTGATCTTTCTCTTCCGCTGGCGTGAAGATAACGATGGAAAGCAGGAAGCAACTTGCCCTGACGGGCTGTGGTTCGCAAACCAGGTCGGTCTTCTATTCTTTTGCCGAATGTGTTCCTTACTAATTATATATGTATAGACCGCCAACAATGCTTGTGCGAGCGTAGCACTATTAAACATTGTCAACAACATCCCAGATATTGATTTGGGAGAGAATCTACGGTCTTTCAAGGAATTCACGATGCCTTTCACCCCAGCCCTGCGTGGAGATGCAATTAACAACTTTGAGTTCGTCAAAAGAATACACAACTCATATGCACGGTATGCCATTTTGATTCGACCTTTACCACTCAAATACTGACTCAATATTAGAAAAATGGATATTCTCAATTCAGATCTGCAGCTGAAGACTGAAGCTACCACTAGGAAGAAAGGGTCCAAGGGCCAGGCTGCTGAAGAGGCTGATGCCACCTTTCATTTCATTGCATTTATGCCTGTGATGGGCCAGCTGTGGAAGTTTGATGGGTTGGAGCGACAGCCACGAGCACTTGGTACGCACCACAACAAACATGCTGGGACGGCCTTGCTAACTCTAGTAGGGGAATGTTCTGAAGACGACTGGTTGGAACTGGTCAAGCCCAATCTACTGGATCGAATGGCTGCATATGAAGAAGAAGAAATTGAATTCTCAATTTTAGGACTCGTGCGGGATCCTCTACCTGATCTCATCAACGACTTGGCTATTAACGTGAGAACCTTGGAAATTCTCAACCAGCGTGCCACATCCCTGTGCCCATCATCAGATACACTCGCTTTGGATGAAACTGTACTTGGTCCTGACCCTTCCGTATCTCTGACACGTGAAGATATCGATGCGGCAGTGATCCCCCAGGAAACCCTCGATGATTACCAGGCATGCTCCGATGAGAAGCTGCAGGAATATCAGCAGATGATACGCAGGAGACAACGAGAACTTCGTGCACGCATTCGTGAAGAACAGCAATCCCACCGGTCGGATGACGAGTATGCAGCCGGACGGCGGTTTGACTATGGGCCAGCGGTACGGACGTGGCTTCGACGCTTGGCGCAGAAACAGCAATTGCAGGAACTGTCCGCCCTCGTGGCCTACTGATTGGATGACCTTGGAATATCCAATCACGTTATATCTCGCATACCCTCATCTTCTCCCTTTTCCCTTTTCCCTTTTCCCTTTTTCCCTATCTTAATATGATATCCATATAGATTCTTGTTATCTGGTGACGTAGTGAGATGACCTTTTTATCATTTCCCTTCAATCTATCTGCAAGGTGTTGAATAGTTCCTAATGTACATGTAGGCGTGTAGGCAGCCACCATTCTAAAAATAAGCATATAAGAAACAGAGGAATCATAGGAATCATAGGAATCATAGGAGTCAAAATATAAACTTGGAAATTAACGCCTGAGGTACCCCACCGGGCAAAAAATAGTTCAATCGTCACCGCCTCGAATGTTGTTGAGTTGCTTCTTCTTTCCAAACCTCCTTTTTGGGTGTTTTTGTGACTTGCGTGAGATTCTTACGGATCTTGGACTTCAGAATTATCCCGGTTTCCTTGTTTCGGTATAGAGGCTGACCCCGAGAGACACTAAACCCTCCTCATCGCCGACCTCTTCTCAATTCGCCACCCTTTTTGTTCCACTGAACGCCCTGAACGCCCAACTATCTCAATCTTTCCTTTTCTCTTTCTCTTTCTCTTACTCTATAAATCCTCGCTTGAACACACATCATGTCTGCCACCGCAGTGCCTGAAAAGGCACCAGATGATTCCTCCAAGCTGAAGACTTTCCTCTCCATCCTTCGAAAGTAGGCAACCCTTCCTTGGCACCCCCCCGCACCGCTTGCGCTGCGCAACACAGATAACCAGCCGCCAGACGCTAATATGATTGTGAACTAGGTTCGTCGGTGTGGCAGATATCGCTTCGGTTCGCTTTTCACTCCCAGCGCAACTGCTGGAGCCTCGACCAAACCTGGGTAGGTCATTATTCGTGTTACGCTGTGCGGGGTTGGTGCTGACTGTGGATGGCGACAAGAATACTGGCATTACTTAGATCGACCGGAGACGTTTGCGAGGTCAGCAAATGTGCCCATATTTGGTGGAAGCTTGTGTGCTGACCCAAGAGCTACAGCATTGGCAAGTCAGATGATGAGCTAGGTCGAATGTTGGAGGTGTTGCGGTTCTGGTTTACTAAGGATCTGGTATGTTTCGGCTGCTCAAATTCATCTGGCCCTTTACTGATCTTGCGGTAGAAATACGTCAAGGGGAAACCGTGCAAACCATACAACTCAACTCTGGGTGAATTCTTCCGAGTGAGTACCGGTGTCTTCGGCATTTTATTCATGGCAATTCATTGCTAACACCCTTTAGTGCAGCTGGGACGTGAGCGACAATATCCCCGAAGAAGGAAACCTCCCTGGCATCAAAGCGAGCTCCAATGGCTCCTCTACCGTAACCGACGGCGATGAGAAAGTCAAAGTATGCTACCTCACAGAACAGACCTCCCATCACCCCCCAGTATCAGCATTCTATATCGACTGCCCCCAACGAGGTGTCTCAGCACGCGGATTCGACCAGATCAGCGCCAAGTTCACCGGCACCAGTATCCGCGTGAGCCCCGGTCAGCACAACCTCGGAATCTTCGTCAATATCGAAAAGAGGGACAACGAGGAATACCAGTTAACCCACCCAAACGCTCACTTGGGAGGAATACTGCGTGGAGCGCTTTCAGTCACAGTTGCGGACACATGCTACGTCACCTGTCCCAAAACGGGCTTCAAGGCGATCCTGCAGTACATGGAAGAAGGCTGGATTGGCCGGTCACAGAATAAGCTTGAGGGCGTGATCTTCCGCTATAACCCGGAGAAGGATACAATCGTTCGGCTGAAAGATGTACCGGAGAGTGACATCGTCGCTCGCATTACCGGTTCTTGGCATGGAAAGATCTACTTCACCCCGGCAGGCACCAAGGAGCCCCGTCTGCTCATCGACATCACCCCGCTTCATCCCATCACAAAGGACCTGCCTCCATCTGAAGAACAGCTGTCCAACGAGTCATTGAAGTTTTGGTCGGGTGTCACGGACGCTATTGTCGAGAAGCAGTTCAACCAGGCTACCAAGCTCAAGCAGGATATTGAGGAACGGCAACGGCAGCGGGCTGCGGAGCGCATTGAAAAGGGTACTGAGTGGAGTCCCCGGTTCTTCACTGGCGCGGTGACGCCGCTGGGTAAGCCAGAGCTCACCGAGGAGGGACAAAAGGTTTTAGAGGGGATTCGCAAGGGCGAATTCGCTTTGACAGAAAGTACAGTGCAGGGCGCATAGATATAATTGTGTCCTCCCTTGACAGTGTAAGCAACTTTGGCGTATCTGGCATGCGACCATACAAACATTGAACTCGGCGTCTCTTTGTTTTTGATCTCTTTTTTTGGTTATACTCTTATTCTCACATACTTAGACATTATTCCCTAGAAATCTGTTTCGTGAATAGCTGCAATTCCATTTTATTATGGTGATTACAAAATTGAAAAGAATAGTATATCATACATAGGTTCAATAGAACGATTAATCCTATTCGTAAAAAAGAATTACAACCTCTTGCCCAAAAGACTAACGCCGCCAGACTCCAATCATCAAGCACATCAACACATAATCCATTTCAGAGATTAGCCTCAAGCTGCGGCACTGACAACCTTGAACCCTGTACTGACGGTCTTGGCAATCTCCTCGTTCTTATGCGGCAGGAGAGACAGGGCATACGCAACATCGTTCCACTGTCGCTCTGTTTCGCAGCGAGGAAGTCGAGCGGCTAGCTTGTCGGCCAGCTGGCGAGCGTGTTTTTCCTGGGTCAACATTAGCATGCATCATTAGAAAGTTGAAAAGGAGGGGGGGAACATACCTTCTCGACAAAACCGATCAAAAACTTGACGATACGACGGAGTGACGCTTCATTCAGGTTACGCTCTGCACTCAACAGACTGAACATGTCAACAAAGTGGTTGTACACGGCATTGTCCTTGGTTGCAAGTTCCGTGAAGAACATGCGAGCCAGATCAGCGATCTTCTTGTCATCATCCTCCAGACATTTAGCCATCTCTCCCAGTTGTCCCTTGACCTTGACTTGACCAGCCAAGATGAGGAAGGTAAGGGTCATGAGACAGGTGCGCTTGACGGAGTCATCGTCATCATTCAAACGACGGTAGAGGAAATCGGTGTTCTCATCGATGAGGTGATTAAAGCAAACAGCCATGTCGCCTAGCGCAATCACAGCATTGCTACGAACGATAGGATCTTCAGACCGCTCCATGATGGTGATGAGGAGTGGCAAGTTCTTTTCACAGTACTCGGCAGACACGCACATGAGTTTGGCAAGGCAAAGGGTTGCAGAGGCCTGCAGGTCACGATCCGGGTAGGAGTTGTTGTTGGCCAAAATCTCCACTACTAGCGGGCCAAACTTGGCCAAGAGAGAGTTCTCTCCATAGAGTAGCTCACGTTCTCGAATATGGGCCATAGCATCCTGGAAGTCGTCTTCTGTCGTTCCGCCAATGAGATCAAGTTCGTCTTCTTCGGCGTTATCTTCTTTCTGAGGAGCAGTGGCGGCTTTGTTCTTCTCTTGTTCAACTTTGCGGCGTTTAAAGTCGAGCTCACACAGCTCCAGATGCACGATCTGTTTGATTGCAACGTGGCCAACAACGTACAGCAGCTGTGAGAGTGCAGCAGATGCTGGCTTGGGCTTGGGTTCCTGACCCTCAGTGGATGCAGTCCCAGGTCGTTGTTGCTCCTCTTCTCCGCTGACAGAGGCATGGGAGGAAGGTGGGCGTTGTTGAAGGTGTGGCGCAAAGACGAATTTCGTCTTTCGTCGGAGGATATCAGAGCAAAGAACGTCAGGGTGCTTGGACAAAGTGTAGATGGCGTTGAGCGCATGCTCTGCCACTCCATACCATTCCTTACTGGCTGTCTCTATCTCAAGCATAGCCGCCAGTTTGACTAAAACAGAGTGGTCGCTGGCAAGCTTGGGAATGCCAACAACCTCCTTTGATTTGGCTTGACGTCCAGGGATCATGCGCCGCAAAGCAATACAAGTGTACTTGGCGAGCACGAGGTCAGCCCGTCCGAAGCCACCCAGACCGATTCGCAGCATAGCCTCAAGCTCCTTCACCACAACCTCTGGATCTGCTAGGGCAAGCATTCCGAGGACAATTATTGAGCCTCTACGTTGAGTCCGTGAGATTTCCTTCTTTTGGATACTGTAAACTTGCCATAGCTTGGCGATGACTGCCTCGGATACATTTCCAGCCTTCATCATCGTGCTGAGCAACTGCTCGAGGCAGGTCAGTTCTGCAGGAGTTGCACCAAACGTCAAACTGATCATGTTGCGGGCGATGTAGTTCGCAGCATCGTTGGGTGTGAAAGAGCCTGGTGCGTCGAAGAAGAGGCCCTTGTAACAATCAATCAGATGTGTCTGGACGCCCTTTCCTTCGTCGCTGTTGCCCTTGGTCCAAATCAGGCGCAGCATACGGCGAATCCCACCGCGGGCAGTCTCAATTCTGTATGCATCGAGAACAACAAAGAAATCCATAGCTTCAATGACCTCACTCTTGTTCCGGGATGAAAGCAACTGTGTGACGATGGTGGATCCGGAGTGAAGCACTTCAATGAACCGGATGGCCTCGTTGTAATACTTCCTCGTCAGTTGGAGGCGTGTCATCAATTCAGAGGTGGCCGCCTGTTCTGCGGCTTTCTGCACAGCAGCGGCCTTCTCTTCATCACTCATCCGGGGCGCTTTCGATGGGGATTCATCCGGGATCTGTGTGGCGTCATCCAACAATTCGGGGTCAACCTGAGTCATGTCGCCTCCTTCAAAGCCGGGCGTCTCCGGAGGACGCAGGGCATTCAACTCGGCGTCAACCGTGTCCAGTCTATCTGTCCACTCCTTGTATGAGAGGAGCCCACCATGCATAACACTAAAAGGGTGTGTAGAAACAAGCTTGGACAGCAGTTTGATCGCGTTGCGTCGCACATTGCTGCTCTTATCCTCCAAGCTTCTGGCAGCAAGTTCCGCTGCAGCCTGTCGCCTCTTCGGGAACTTCTGCTCCAAATCA